AGCTTATTACTGCTTTGTTTTGTATGGGGAGTGTTGAGACCATTTTACTGGTTACGAAGCATGCTAGCTTAGTTCTTAGGAGTGAAAACGTACTGCATTTCGATTCTTAATCGAGGATAAATGTAGAAATGTGACACAGCATCTACTTACCATCTGGTGGACTGTGTACGCGTTTAAAAAAACCGCGGTGGCATGGCGGTGCATAATATAAATCATGTATAAACACAGACGGTGTGCGTTTATGTATGAAAATATTATGTGCAGAAAGTTAATATAAAGATAGTGTTTACCTAGGACAAATTGCTCAACTAGATGAGTCCAACTTCGACCAAGAGGTCATTTGACGAATCCAACTCGACTATGCAGCGTTCGGGAGATTACGAAAAATTATCGTTACGTAAGTGTTACGGCCTACGGCTGCTCCCTTAAAGGATCCAATCCTCAGGGGCTCATGAGCTGAAGATTTCCCGAACAGACGTAGGTCGGGCCCCAATGTGGCCACGTGGAATCTCTCCAATTACACTAAAATATATGGGGGAGCGCTATACTACGGCCAGTCGACCGGAAGGAATTTGGACGAAGCTTACTTACCTATATCCAAGGCGACTGGTCCCTCCGGAGTCGGTCAGGTCGCATGTGGTTGTGTAGTGCAAGGGAAAGAATGGTGATGTGGTGTGTATCTGGGTGTGACTGATGGTGATTGAACCTAGACCTTGGCCGTCGGCAGCAGCCCGAGCGTCGACACCGCTCCAACTTGAGGGGGCCTTTCGAGGTTGTCCACAGTCACTTTCTTCTTTCGTCACGTTGACAGTCAATTAACTCTATCGTATGATTCACTAACTTACAGAAGACACTAACTATCGCTGGGTATAATGGTTACCGCACAAACGCACACGGAGTTTAAAGGGTCAAAGGTCACTACCGTTTCGCGTAGCAATAGTTAATTCTAGAATATCAGAGGCCGCACTATCTAATATTGCCGAATGCACTTATGCAGGTTCTGAGTCAGACACAATAAGTCCCGGGAAGCTCTCCAGTAGGAATGCGCGTCACAATGATAGACCGTATATTTACTGGCCGCGCCGAATTATTCCGAGTTCCCTAACAGAATACAGCGTGCCAATCGTTAGCACCGCTTGTGGACGACTGACAGCCCTTGGGCGTTTTACGCACGACCGAATGTCAAACCGGTATGACACTGAGCCGCACGCCCTCTCGCGTTCGTTCCTTGAAAGTGTTTGGCGCGAACAGTAAGCATCAAAACTTGAAAACTAGAGCGTACTCTGAAATGAGGATATCTGCAGTAGAACGAGAGTAACCGACATAGCGAAACGGATCAGTAAGCAGAAGTGGCAATGGGCGGGCTATATGTGGCTTACTTATAAAGCTATAGCTTGAAGAACCGACAACTGATCGAAAATAAATATTCTCGAGTAGCAAAGCAAAGTGTAGTGCGGCACATCACTAGCTGGAGTGAAGGCCTAGTAAGACATGCATGAACTCGATGGACGCCACCTGCCTTTAATTTGTAAACGAGGATAGATGTAGATGTCTATGAGCCACAGTAACCACTTACCATCAGTAGACTGGGTGCTCGCTTGTCATCCATATCTTATAAAAAAATAGGGCTCAGCGCTGAGCTAATGCGCAAAGCTCTTATAAAATACTAATTGTTTGGATTTCAAGTATATGCCCCATGCTTACCTCTTACGACACCCACGGTACTATGTGTGGCATTGAATATTTTTACACCACAATACCTCCTATTATCTATTTCTCTTTGTAGTGAACTGTCCGGTTCCCGAGAAAACTGTTGGATTTGACTAAGGAATCTTTGCAAGTGCGAACGGTAGAGTACTAGTTTCTAAGCATAATAGCCTATTTACTGTAAATACTAAGCACACTAAGTTTTTTAGAGTTCAACTTGTACCTACTTCGGCCTTCGACCTTTGGATGTTCAGCGGTGAGAGTTGGACGTAAGAAGAGAACTTAAAAGTTTAGCTTTTTTTGCGGCGTGAGTCAGCGTGTTGTCCTCCCTGCACAGAGATGGTAATATAACTTACAGAACATCCCATGATCTGCCTTGGGAAGAGACCAGAATGGACAAGTAAGGCGAACTAGTTTCTTGCTGTTTCAGGTAATGTGCTCTGACTATATACCAAGGAACACAGCCTGCGTGCACAGAAAATTGTTGACAGAAAGCGAAAATAGTGTGTTACATACCCCATTTGGACTCCTAGACAGTGAGAGTCCTATATATCTGTCTACTACGTCCACCTAATAATATATCATACATACAGAACGCTCCGTCCTACTGGACTCTATTTAGACCAGGGGGTTTTCAAGTGGGGGCGCGCCACCCGGGGGTGCGCAGAAACCTGCAAAGGGGAGCAAGAGCTAGCTGCGTAGTTAGGGACCTTACGACCGAAAAATGTCCGTAGGAAGGTGCAGTGTATGTACACCGAAAAAATTGGTGAAACAATGTTTTGGGCCAAATATTTCACAATTTATTACAAAATAGTAGAGGAAGCCCTTCAATCATATTTACCCATTTCCTGTACATATTTTTGCGAAAGGAGATTTCTGCTGTTGTGGCAATAAAAACCAAGTCCAGAAATAAACTTACGCGTAACATTGATAGTGCTTTGCGTTGTGCGATTTCTGTGGTTAAGCCGTGAATCAGAAACCTCGTTAAAACCATGCAAGCTCATCCATCTATATTCGATTAAATAAGAAGTAATATTTGTATAACTAAGTAGTTTTTGTATGATATTATGTAACTTATAAGCATTAAAAATTTGATGTTATTGAACAGAACTAATTTTTTCTAACCTGATAAAATTATCTGAGCAAGCGGGCGGATATTTTTTTTTTGGTAGAAAGGGGGCGCGTCAGAAATATGTTAGGGAACCACTGATTTAGACCTATGTTACAAGATAAGCGACAGGCTAGGATGTAGTTTTAGCCACACAGACATCAGCATATAACACAAGCGAATCCGAAATCAAGTGTCAAATAAATTTTATTTTTACCAAAGATATCTTGGGAATTTATTTACAATTCTTTATTCTTGTATCCCTCGGGATCTCAGTTAATATTCGGGGTGGAGTAATTTTGCGTATTTTAAGGCTTTCGGGTATCTCGTTACTCGAAATCCGCAGTTCAATATTGCGAATGAAATTCTTTAATATTTGGTTACAAATGTTTCTTCAATTTCTATAGGTTGAAACTGATTGGAAAAATCGAGATAGATTATTTTCGTTCGCTTTATATAAAATATTCGATATTTAATGGACCTTATGGATGTTTAATGAAGGAACCTTTTTTAATTATCAGTCATATTATATTGTAAAATTTATTTAAAAAAAAAGTCCCGCTGGGTTTCTTGCTGGTTCTTCCCAGGACAGAGGCTTTTTTTCGAACCAGTGGTAAAGTAAAAAATTACTTTCAATAAGAAATACACATGTAATGTATCTTGAATAAAAAAATATTCTATTCTATTCTATTCTAAAAATAGACTAGATATTAGCCAAATAAATAAAAACTTTTTTTGTAGAACAAAGGAGAAAAAACCGGTCAAGTGCGAGTCGGACTCGCGCATGAAGGGTTCCGTACCATCGTACAAGATTTAATATTATGTATACAAAAAGAAACGTTTCTATTAGGGTTTAATTTTTAATTAATTTTTTATTTTTATTTTGTTGTTATAGCGGTAACAGAAATAGATATTTTGTGAAAATTTGAACTGTCTACCTATTATGGATCATGAGATACAACTCGCTTACATCGGCCGCTATTGATACACTCGATTTTCGTTTATTCAACTCAGTTGAAACAAAGAAAATGGTCAGAAAACTACGTACATTTAAATTAACGTCGAGACCACACCCATTTTTTTTTAACTACATATTTTAAAGCAGTGCTGATGATTACGAGATGCTCATAGCGCAATCTATCGCCACGAGAACATGATCTATTTTGCTACCTTTGACGCTAATTTACGTCTCCGATCTCTATTGCATTTGATCTATCTAAAGTCATAATGTCGCTCTAGCATATCCCATTGTCGTCATTTACGACACTCACGGGAAGAATCGAGGCGATGTTTTTCCTTCTGCCACTAACTCACGGCACTTGCCAACCTTACACTTATTATATGTGGTAGAGCCACGCTGCTATATTATGGTTGCTACACGAATGGGTACGCTCGACCGTTGTAGGACCACGCTATCACAGAACACCAGCTTAAAATAGCAGCTGAATGCTGCTATATTTCGTATGGTGAGTGTAAAGAACCGGTGACGAAACGAGGAATTCTATTTTAGTCCTCATGGGTGACAGCGAATCTAAATTCTGATAATAAATATAGTTTCATTTACGTGGTAGAGCCATGCTGCAGCTATATTAGTAGTATAGTTGTAGCACGAATGGATCGGCTCAACCGGGGAAGGACCACGCTCTCACAGAATACCAGCGTCAAATAGCAGCTTCATGCTGCTGTGTTTCGTATGGTGAGTGTAGAGAACTGGAGACCCTTTTTACTGGAAAAGTGGCATTCTATCTTAGTCCTCACGGGTGACAACGCATCTGCATTTTGATTCGCAAACGAGGATAAATGTAGATGTCTATGGGCCATAGCAACACTTACCATCAGGTGGACTGTGTGCTCGTTTGTCACCCTATCCTATAAAAAAAAGTTGTTTATGGGCCACAGCATCTATTTACCAACTATTGGACTGTATGCTCGTTTGTCACAATTATTCTATAAAAAAACCCGTACAGATGACTAGTCATAGGTTGTGTTCCACAATAAGACGATAGGCAAAAACGTACTCACAAAGTTAGTACAACAACACACAACCCTACAAGGATATTTGACGCAAATTGAAGCAACTGGCCTAAAGTTGCAACATTTGCGTGTTAATATGAAATCGGGTTTTGCTATAAATATGTAGCTATTCTTTCGATTACTATACTTCGTCTGAAGATTTCCAAGCAATATGTTCACCTACATCGCTGTAAGTTACATCCATTTTTTAACAATAATTATTTATTAATATTTTTATTTGATTATATATACAATATTTATAACTATATATAGTTATAAATATTTGTCTGAAATCTCACCGACATCTTATACATTTACAGGTAACAGTCTAACAGCATTCCGTCTATCATATTTGATTAATAAAATTTTATTTTGCAAGGCAACCAGTCTTCTTACTTATAATTTCTTCATCCACCAGCACATACACACACAGCCCTTCATCATACATACAACAACACTCCTATTCATACACTCTTTAATATACACATACTAAATACAAAATATCTACAGGCTAAACTTTTTGTAATCTTACTTTTTTGTAATCCTTAAGGGAAGTGGCGGGTTATTCCCAACACATGTATCCTCTTATTACTCATTGGGAAGTTTCAGTATTATGTTGTTAACAAGATTACCGAAATAAACGTATTTATTATTATTATTATTATATTATATATTAATTCAAAAAATTAAAACTACGAATTTAAGTTATAATACCGTCGTACTGCCCGCGGTATAGTTCCAAGAACGCTAGGTGCGTATCCTTGTTGAATTAGCCAAAGATACAATAAAAATAAAATACCAGGTCTACGGACTATCCGTTCGTGGAGTCCACGTGCGGTGAAGTTCATAAAGGAGCTGTTTCTGCGACTTGTCGTCGCCGCTGGTGACAAACAAGATTTTTTTACAGCAAAAATATAATAAATTCATTAAAAAATAAAATAAAAATATTAATGAATTTATTAATCGGCCTTTATTATTTATTAAAGCGTTAATTAATTATGATATTCATCGTCTTGCTATAAAATCACATTATACATATATTACCTAATAAGATCCAGAACAGCAGTTTTCTCATGTGAGTTTTTCAGTCTTTGAAGTTAATTCCACGAACTATATTTAGGTATTTGGGATTATAGCAATTTTTTTGTGGGACGATTATTCGCAGTTTAGATAAAAATTGCCCAATTAATTTAAAGTTTCGTTACAATATTCTGATAGAACATTGATGATTTAACTATAGGTCATCTATATTTTAGTTATGTTGAAAATTTATTAGCAATCTTAATTATTTTCTGCCGACTTCCAAAAAGGAGACGGTACTCAATTCGACTGTATTTTTTTATGTGTGTTACCTCATAACTTTTTACTGGGTGAACCGATTTCGATGATTCTTTTTTTAGTTGAAGTCTGTTGCTTCACATGTGGTCTCATATTCAAGGTCAGACCAATAGTTTTGAGTTATTCTTAATAACTTATATTGAAGTCGGCTGTACAAAATTTTTAAATTTTAGAAATTAATTTTAAATTATTTATTTTGGAGAAATTTTTTATTTCAGTTGTATAGGGACATTTTAGATGTGATAAAATGAATGTTGCTAATAATAGAACTATAGTTTGAGTATAATTGAACCTTTGAATTTTCTTGCTGAATTATAGGTTAAAGGGATTGTTTTTATTATTTACTAAGTACTTCATTCATTTTTAACTATTATACTTAAATTGAATTCAATAGCAATCAGCTCTTAAACGAATTTAATCCATCTTATCGCATTTAATTTACTTCTTTTAAATTCCCGACCTTTCGCGTGCTTTGAGACGTCCCGTTGTCAAAGTTAACGCGGAGTACCTTCAGATTTTAATTATTACTTTTGTTTCGATTTAAATATAATATCTTGTGAATATTCTTCGTGTAAGAAATATTACCGTAAAATCTAACGATAATAGAATATACCACAAAACGTTACATGGAACGCATACGTGAAATAATGCATGCCTCTATGAAAGTCACCCTGTGAAGAATATATCACTTGATATCATGTGATGCCGAAACCAAGCCAAAACCATGCTCAACTTATTTTTAGAACATGCACCCGCGCACACATGTAATTAAAATAATTTGTAAAAAGGTAGAATGAAGAAAAATGCGAAAAATTTGAGCATTGTTTCAGCGTAACATGAAATGTACGCAGCGCACCGTCCATTTTTTATTGTTAATTATGTTCGCTAAAGTTGATGAAAAGCAGGGTTCCTAAATTGATTTACAAATTGCGTCCCGCTAATTATTTTTGGCGATAGATAATAAATAACTTCTGCGTCGGCCTCACGCTTGACAACAGCTGCGAGCCTCGTACCACAAAACTCTTTGCTTGCGGCAATATGCGACGCCCGTTATACAGGTTGCGATACTAATGCGACAGTCGCTATAGCGAGAGGTTTTCATAATATTTATAAACTCTCGGCGTACACGTCTTTAGGTTGATAATAATTAATGAATATAGCAGAAAATAAACACATACACATTGTGCTCTTTTAAGCTTGGGTTTTTCATATTATGCTATTTATGGGGGTGAGCCCGTCGTATTCTTTTGTATTATATTTCTCCGTAGAATATGATTTTCTCCTATATCTTGTAGGTATAAGTCCCAGCAGCGTTTATTGTATTTAATTTCTCTATTGGGTAGGCTTATTAGAGTTTGCCATATCGTGGATGCGTTTTAGAAACATAAATTTCACACCATCAAACATACAGACATGAATCAATTATTGCAATAACAATGCTTAGGCGAGACGATATGCAATCAAACCGAGTTCGATCCCCGGTGGCACCATTGAAATTGTTAATTGCAAACTTAAGTGTCAATTTACCACGTGATTGGTGGAAACATTGTAAGGAAACCTGCTAGTCTCAGAAAAGAAACGTTTTGAGGACACCTGAAGATTGGCCACATGCACTGCAGCAGCAGGACTGTTAATTTTTGTTTGATCCATAACTTTCTCAGTCATAAGAACCTTGTGACTAACTGTGGGACGTATATGCTGTAAAATGTAAAATGCTGCTTTTTACTGTCATTTATATTAAACTAGAAACATTTTTTTCTTTTCTTTCTTTTTTTAAAAACTCCACTCCACACTAGGATTTTCTCCTGTATCGTGGGGGCAGCTTACAAACATAAATTACACAACGACAAACATCCAGACCCTGAACTATTATTTGTAGGCCATACAAATACTTGTTCTGTGCGGGATTCGAACCCGCGGCCCTTAGCGCTGCAACTCAATTTCTTAGCCACTGCGCCACGGAGCCGTCCGCACCTAGACAGGAATGATTGGCAGTATGTCTTAAAGTATTAAGTAAACCTTTTTGTATTGCAAAAATAATAAAATGCAAATAACAAAATAAGAAATAAACAATGCTATTAAATTATAACTATACGTGCAGTCCTTAAAAAAAACTTCAATTTTTAACTCATCTTATATTCTCGACATTTTGTTTACTGGTCATAGGGGATCATGAGTGCTGGGAAGCACTCGTAGCGTCGTTTATATAAAATAAGATAGACCAAAACTATTCTTGTGTACATTCCACGCATTTGAATCAATTAATTTCTTCGTCGATTGTATCGTAAAGCGTACAGCAATGGAGTGGAATAGTAGGCCAGCATCTGTCTTCTCATATGATCACAATGTATGTAATTCAAAGAATGACTGAATAGGTCTTACGATAGCGCGCCTATTCATCTTCGGCTACCTCACCTCACTCATCAGGTGGGATAGCAGTCAAGAGGCTTATACTTTACATAGTGGTTACGAAATCTAAACATTTTTATAATTTATTTTGATTAGTAACGTAATTAGGTCACTGACATATTAATTTATTTGCAATAAAATACTCGGCGCCATTACAATACGCGTTTACATAAATTGTAGTAACGCAACACATTGTTCGTATTGAAGCGTGACCGTATATAATACTGTTAACATTAAGTATATAGTTAGTTATATAGTTATATTATAGTTCGACAGTTAAATATATAATTAGTAATATAGTTAGTTATAACGGTTAACCGAAATTAAACTAATATTCCGTTATAAAAAAAGAAAAAAAGTTTTACATGGTAGAGCCATGCTGCTGCTATATTAGTAGTATAGTTGTAGCACGAATGGGTCGGCTCGACCGGGGAAGGCCCACGCTCTCACAGACCAGCGTAAAATAGCAGCTTAACACTGCTGTGTTTCGTATGGTGAGTGTAGAGAACCGGAGACCTTTTTTACTGGAAAAGAGGCATTCCATTTTAGTCCTCACGGGTGACAACGCATTTGCATTTTGATTCTTTATTGAGGATAGATGTGGATGTCTATGGGTCACAGCAACCACTTACCATCAGGTGGACTGTGTGCTCGTTTGTCACCCTATGCTATAAAAAAAGTGCACCATTACCTATAGTTTATTTGGATAAGCGTCTTAATATATAACGTGGTGCCCCATTTAATTTAAACCATGTAACGTCTCTCAACGAAACTGAAGTTATATATACGATGTTTAGAAATTCTTATTCAATAGAAATAATTTTAGCATAACTGGCATAACTCTTGTGGATTTAAATCTTAATATTTTTTTTTTATAGAATAATAGTGACAAACGGGCAAACAGTCCACCTGATGATAAGCGGTTGCTCTATCCTCGTTTGCAAATCAAAATGCAGATGGATTGTCAGCCGTGAGAACTAAGATAGAATCTCTTTCCAGTTAAAAGGGTCCCCGGTTCTCTACATTCACCATACGAAACACAGCAGCATTGAGCTGTTATTTTACGCTGGTATTCTGTGGTTCTTGCTAGGTCGAGGCGACCCATTTGTGGTTCAAGTATACTAGTAATATAGCTGCAGCATGTCTCTACCACCTAGTACGGTTAATTAGTTAACGCAAAGCTTGAATTTCAATAATAATGACAATTTAACTGATTTTTGTTTTTGGTTTTGATCATGTATAATATATATGGTGGTATACTTTAAGTCAAAAAATAAATGGATAAATGGAACACAGTAGAGAGTTACTGCCACATGCACTAAATTTAGTTTATACCAATTACTATACATTTGTAAATTTGTCGTGATTACATTTTATTTTAATTTCAGGTCGCTTGCCTGTTCGCTGTGGCTCATGGAGCCCCATCCGGGGGATATTCTAGCGGATATGGTTAGTAAATGATATTATTACTTACAATAACTAAATTATAGATTATATAAAATAAATAAGTTTAAAACTAAAACCTTTTTCTAAATAAAAATATTTTTATTTTTTGGGTTCGAACGCGAGTCTAGCGATAATATTTTTAAATGTTCATCTAAGCATATACAGAAAACTACATCTATCATATATTTAAAACAATCAAAACACACAAATGTAATCACAAACTGTAAGGCATTTCATCTCAGTCCTCAGAGATGACAACGCATCTGTAGTTTTCTTTGTGTACAGTTTTCTGCAGGTGTCCATGGACTGCATTAGTGACTTACCAACAGCTGGACTCTAGGTTATTTTATTACTTTAGTTTATAAAAAAGACAGTAAACAAGGATGAAGCGGGTTCGAATCCCGCACAGAATATTATATTATTAGCCACTTATAAAATAAATTAATAAATAATAAATTTATAGGCATCTCTAAGAAAATGTTCCAGGTATAGCTATATGGTATATACTGGGTGGCGATTAGGTTATCACATTAAATAACAACGGTATATACAAGTTCATATATGTCGATAAAAATAATAAAATAAACTATTCTAACAATAATAAAAAAAGCAGCTTTCAAACAAAATAAATAGCGTAAAAATTGACACGAAATAAATCACCTTGATATTAGTTTACCGACTAGAAGTGACATGTAAAAGCGGCAACGGTGCGGCAGGTGCGCAGTGCTCACGCGGCATCGACATAGGTAATTATTCACCTACACTTTCCCGTTCATAAGTAATTAGGCAAAAAACGAATAAAGGGCTATTGAGACTAGAATTTTAATTGTTATATATTTTTTAAATTGTGTATGTTCAAGGAACGTTATATAGGATAAGTCTTTTCATTTAATGTGATAACCTTATCGCTACCCCGTATATATTTATAAAAAATTTGTCAACCATCGTCTTATCTACTTTAGCCATCAAATAACAGTCAAGCACTGTTATTTTAAAAAGATAAATACAGCGACCCACATACAAGTAATTTTTTTTAACTTCTTGTTTCAGGATACTCATCACCGATAATTTACAGTGCACCGGCTATCTCCACCGCCAACCTAATTAAAGCAGCTCCTATTCCCGTCTACAAGACCATCTCGACGCCAATAATTTATGAATCAGCCCCCATCGCTCCTATCGCTCCCATCGCCCCAATTGCTCCCATCGCTCCTATCATTTCCACACCAATTCTGAAGACTGTTTCGACACCGATCATTTCGCAAGGGTACAGTATAGGAGGATACGGTCTTGGAAGCTACAACCAAGGAGGATACGGTCTTGGAAGCTACAACCAAGGAGGATACGGTCTTGGAAGCTACAGTCTCGGCGGATACGGACAAGGCGGATATGGACTCGGATACGAGTCGGGTGATTACAGCAGCAATTGGAGCAAGCACTAAGTCATTTTAGTGAAGGAATGCAGAAGAAGTAGTTGTTAAAACCTTACCCTCTCCCTACCCATTGGTAAATGAACTTAATAAAACATTCGTAACTCTATTTCTTTGTTTAAATTGAATATAATAAAAACATACCAATACCATTACAGTTTATCATAAATCCACTGCAAAACACAGATCTCCCCCAGAGATTACTTCATAAGGGCCAACCGCAGTTTTTTACCACATTAACACGTTTTTATTAAGTCACTTTCTTGTTTGTCTGTTTATCGTTCCGATTGGAATCATGCAACCCAAATTTCGAGCACTTCCCGATGAGCTAGAGACTTTCATACGTGGTAGAGCCATGCTGCAGCTATATTTCAGGTATAGTTGTAACACGAATGGGTCGGCTCAACCGGGGAAGGACCACGGTCTCACAGAATACCAGCGTAAAATGGCAGCTTGACACTGCTGTGTTTTGTATGGTGAGTGTAGAGAACCGGAGATCATTTTTACTGGAAACGAGGCATTCTATCTTAGTCCTCACTGGTGACAACGCATCTGAATTTTGATTCGTAATCGAGGATAAATGTAGATGTCTATGGGCTACAGGAACCACTTACCATCATAAAAAAAGCTAGAGACTTGAAATTTTGAACATAGCTTAGAATCGGACGACAATGTAGGAATATGTAATTAAGTATATTAAATAAAACTAGTTTTATGGATTTTACCGCGTATATTAACTTATTTTAAATTTCAGACGTTCGAGTATTTTACAGCACCCATGGTCACGGGGGGGACTGAGGTGTTTGACGTCCCAATGTCATAGTTAAACACGGCTACCTCCAGATGAAAATGATTAATTTTTGTTCCGACCTACGCAGTATAAACTTACAGTATCTTGAAATCTTACAGTTGTATGCTTGGGTTAGGATTTCATTTTATTAATTATAGGATTCAACGCAGATGGTAGCACCCAGCCATCTTCTCTATTGAAATTAGGATGTTTTTTGATTTCAATAGCTTCGCGAATCATCCTTGAAAGGAATCGGTGTTCTTTAGCAAGGATTTGTGGTCTATTAAATCTAATGTAGTGACGGGGCGATCCTGTACGTGTTCATAGACTGCAAACTTTCCGGGTTTTTATTGAACTTTTAGTTTGTCCTATATAAGAGAGACCACATTCACAGTCAAGCTTGTACACTTCTGCATCTTGCAGAGGGATATTACACTTGACTGATGGTAAAAACTGACTAATCTTCTTCGGCGGCTTGAAGTACGACGTTTTAGTGGAAGCACGCTTCAAGATTTAGCCAATCTTGTCAGTGAAAAGCTAAAGAATTGTTTGCCTCTAAGGCCTCTGCCTCGAATTTCGCGGGCAGCGGGACGGCGGCGGCGGCGACGCGGGAGCGGTGCGGACAACGTAGACCTGTTCTCGAAACCAGCGGGCAGATCGCGCGACACTATAACGGCGTTGTGATGTGTTCATGGTTGTGTTGTCGAGATATTTGTTTTTATTCGCGAACGAAATGTCTGAACAACATCTTTTTGATTTAAATTTATTCCTAACGCTCGATTTATTGTGGGCAAAAGAAGAAGTGAATCACTACTATAAGGCAAGGAAAAAAAAAGGCGATTTTTATCGAAATTACGATATCGAAGTACGATGATTAGTTATTTCTAAAATCACAGATTTGTTATTATTTTGACTGTATTTTTTATTATAAGGTTGATATACCTAGTTTTGTGTATTATACCCATATATATTAATCATTCATTAGAAGGGTACATGCCTTCAATTACACTTAACTCGTCTAGAAGAGCTTGATTAATTTTTTGTCTCACTCTAAACTTTTGTACTGGCGTGAATTTTTCCGTTTGTGGAAGCAAACTCATTAAAAAGTAGTAGTCTAAAATAAATTTGCTCTTGCACGTACGAGGTCATTTCGACACGTCACAAAAATAATTTGCACAACACTACAATGCAGACGCGTGGACGGTCACCGCTTGACTGGAGTGCACCGCTCGTTGCCCGCCCCTGCGCCGCTGCCGCACCGCTGTTTTCGAGGGTCGGTCCATTTGATTGTACGCATAAGATCCTGCCGCTCCCGCGCCGCCGCCGTCGCCGCTCCACTGCCCGCAAGATTCGATGCAGAGGCTTAACTCCATTATAAACTGAATTTTAGAATTTGTGGTGGTAAGATGGTCTTAAAATGCAGTTACTTTATCTAAAGGTAGAATTGTGAAAGTGTCGTCTGCGTACCGCTTGTAGAATCTTGGATTTACGGGAGAAGTACGCGGGGCTTTCTCCTCAAAGTCTTCCATGAATATATCGGCGCAAATGGGAGATACAGGTGAGCCCATCGCCACACCATCTACTTGCTTGTAGAATTCCACAATAGGTAGCTAGATGTATGGTAGTGTCTGAGTAATACTGCATATTTTACGGGCATGTTGTTTTCCTCCAGCCTTCTAGTTACAATCGAGATGCAGTCTTCAACAGGTAAGCATGTGAACAGACTCTGCACAGCGAAACTGACTGAACTAATTTTGTTATGACTAATGTTTCCGAACCTATTTTAACCTTATATGTTTACACGACACCTTCGTCGATTATGAACAATTTTAAATTGTATACGTCATCACCTCGAGTTCAGTGGAAACATTTTTGTTTTCACCTCGAGCCTGTCTAATTTTTTAGCCCACTCTCAGAGCCGACTTTGCTTTCGAAGGCTCTCAAAACTTTTAAAAACATTTAACTGAAAAAAAAATAACTTAGCCCCAAATTCAGAAGCTATCTCAATGAAATAAAAATAAACTTCATCTTTTAAACCTTTTAAAGTTGGCTTTCATTTTTTTCAACTTTAATTATTGTTTTTACGTAGATTAATTTCTGCGTTAACAATATAACACTCTTAATTGGTCTTGTGAATTATTCTCTGTACATTTGAATTTTCAAGCAAACTTCATTCCACACAAAGGCGAGCAGTGGAAGTTATTTAAGTTAGAAACTGTTTGGAAATTCTCACTTGATGTAAATTAATCGCTGGCTGTCTACACCAGCAGCTCCCATGTGTATGCAATATGTTGATGCCATTCTGAAACTTAGGCACCTATAGATAACTGATGAGGTTTTTCAGCCAAAATCAGATTAATCACTAATTGTACGTGGTAGATCCATGCTGCAGCTATATTAGTAGTATAGTTGTAGCACGAATGAGTCGGCTCGACTGGGGAAGGACCACGGTCTCACAGAATACCAGCGTAAAATGGCAGCTTGACACTGCTGTGTTTTGTATGGTGAGTGTAGAGAACCGGAGATCATTTTTACTGGAAAAGAGGCATTCAACCACTTACCATCAGGTGGACTGTCTGCTCGTTTTTGTTTTATGACTCGTGTGTTGGTTTATCATTTATACTACAATTATTTTCTCCGTGCAGTTTGGGTCAAAAGTAATCGGAGTATTATGCTCTCTCTCCCACTCACGGGCCTTAGGGGCGAGTATAGTGATGCGCATTATTGTTGTCGATAAGCGTTATCGATAGTGTATTTAGTTTATTATAGTATTGTTACCAATCATCATGTCCCCTCTGTTGAGGTTTTTTGAGCTATCTAACCGCTGTCCGGTTGGGGGTGACCCCCGCCTCTTACGGCTTAGCTCGTGTCGGTAGTATTGGATGTCTGTCACACGGTTACACGGATCACACGGATCACACTTATAATTATCATCATCATCAGCTTATAAAGTGCTCTGGTGGATATGAGCCTATGGCATTGTTGACAGGTTATGCCCGTACCAGATATCTCGCAGCTTTGACACAACTTCCCGTCGCCGTTCTAGGTGTTTAACGTGTAGAGTAAACGAGATTGTTGTATTTCTTTTATAGAAATTACGGGTGACAAACGAGCACACAGTCTACCTGATGGTAAGTGGAAGCTGTGGCCTATAAACTTCTACATCTGTCATATTTCGCCATGTTTCGGGAGCGATTAGATTTTCTAGCGTTTCCCAAAGTTTCTTACGAAACCAACGGGGAAAATGTGGTGGTGGTTTCTCTAACGCCTTCACCCCACAGCGTACATACACGATTTAATAAGTACCAAAGGGTCGTTACACCTCGTTAGTAATAATATGGTCCCCAGTTTTGGTCTAACTAACTATTATGCATTATGTTGGCATTTCACAGTGCTGTAGCGTGGATTATTTATTAAATTTTTTCAATTATTGTTTTATTAAATTTTCTATATAATTTTATTTAATTACGTTTTCTTTTTTAATAATTATTTTTATTGTTATTTTTTTTACTTGACATTGTGATTATTAATTGAATTGAATTAATAGAATATTCAATAATTTATCTATTGTTACTATTTACAAAATTTATTTTAGAAACAGCTTGGAAGCGACCACCTCATATTTATATTTATTATATTAAGGTTATTATCAACCATGTATATTATAATAACCCTTTTTATACAATTTTTGTTTATTTAATTATATATTTAAACTTGGTAATAGAGATACCTTGTATATTTTCAGGGACTTTGTTGTAATAGCGTATACATTGCCTCAAGAATGAATTACTGACTCTGTGGAGTCGAGAGACGGTTATCACTAACTTGTGTTTGTTCTTAGTGTTTACAAAGTGTATATCACTTTTTTACTGAAACTATCTTTGTTTTTGTAAACATAAATTAAATTTTCGGAAATATACTGAGAGGCCAAAGTTAATATATTTATTTATTTAAATTTTTCTTTAAGATACTCTCTGGGTTTAAGGTTGTAAATAGCTCTTATGGCCCTCTTCTGCGTAACAAAAATAGTTTCTAAATCAGCCGCATTTCTCCATAGCAAATTCCCATAAGACATTATGCTATGGAAATAACTGAAATATACTAATCTAGCTGTCTCGGCACAAGTGTGATTTAATTTTTTTTACAGCATAGGCTGCAGAGCTTAGTCTGCTTCCTAGTTTGGATATATGGGGGCCCCACTGAAGCTTTGCGCCAAATTGCG